TCTGACAGCAAATTATACAAAAAATTATTCAAAATACCGGGTAATCCACTACTGTGCAAATTGTCTGACAGTATGTCTATGGAAACCGAATCAAATGCGCCCTTAATATCCAAAAAGACTGAAGCCAATTGCTCCTTGTGCGCAAAGGCCAGTTGAATATCAGATGAAAGCATCCCTAGACAATCGTTTGTTCCTTTACTCTTCCGGAAACCAAATTGCGTATTTGAAAGTAGATTGTTTGATTCAACCCAATGGTCAAGTCTTAATAGGATCATTTTTTTCTAATAATTTCCTCAGGCATGATAACATAGATATCGGACGGTAAGAATTGTGATCAGACGCTGGTTTCCCAGGCTTTTGAATAGCTATTACTTTAACCTGTCTCCATGCTGGTGGAACTATATTGAATTCCATAAATGAATTATATAGGTTAAGTAATCGTCTTTTAGCGATATCGGGGAGGTTTTTTAGAAGGTCGAATTTGATCATATCGCTTCCCGGAGCAGAGTTATTCGATGAAAGAAGTGCCATTGAAAATTCCAGTATTGTGAATGGTTCATCCAGAGAACCGTTACTTCGGACTGTATCCCGTAAAGTTGGTTGTGCTGGAACATTGACCCGTACCTGGAGAGCAATGGATCCAGATTACGTTATTAGAACCTGCCGTGCATTCCAGAAGCGTGTGGAGGCCATAATTGCAGCAAGTGGAAACTCGATCGATGATTAACATAGTTTAAGACTCAGAGAAACATCCCCCCTTTGAATAAATAAAAAAAACTCAAAAAAGAAATTTTTGAGATTTTTTTTGAATTTTGACATTGCTCAATGGTGCAAACATATCACGCATACGGTACAGTGGGTCAGGAATGAAGGACGAAATAGAAATGTAAACCCATAACTGTAGCGATTTTTTGCCCCTCGAGTTTTGTTGTGTGGTAAATTGTGACTTAAGCAGACCAGACACTCCCGGGTAACTAGCTCAGTAGCATGAGACCCCTTAACTGTGTTGCAGGGCCGGCATGCTACTGGGTATTCGGAGGGGCTACCCGGACAAAGTATGAAAGCACAGGAATATTCACGTTTTCTAAAACATTTATTGCCCTTTTCTGTGGCGTATGAGTGTGGGTTTTCACATATATGTGGCGTGTATGCGAGGGTTTAAAATGAAGTACTCACTGCTGCAGTGGGATCTCCTACGGCGTCGCGACACTGGCGTTGGCCCACACGGCTGCTCCTGCACTACCGTGTGGCCGGAAACTTGCGGTGCGGGCTGCAGACAGTGTTGTTGCAGCTTTGGGAGAATGGCAGATCTGGTGGCGTTCATCAGCCACATACGGCTCAGCAGCCATCTTGACTTCCGAGCCGAGCCGTGTAAGACCGTTTTATTTTACGTTACGAGGTGTACAAGATGTACGAAAGCACAAGAGGTCCTGAACTTCTATCTCGAGCTCCAAAAAGGGTGGGGGGGTATGAACCATTTCACTGCACTTTACTATGGTCTTGTTCACATGGACACCTGTTTACTTCTCCCTAATCTTCCAAATCTAAGATGGCTATCATTATCCAATTTGCACATCCATTGTTATTTTAAAGCCAAGATTTTCCTCCCTTCAGTATTGCTCGAGTGTTTTTGCAGCGATACTAACCCTCTCGCTGCTGTGTTTTACCTTCTGGGTTTGTTCTTAAAATACGCGAATTTTCCAAACAACAACAACTCATACAGACGAAAATCCACGGATTGTAACCAACTGGTTCCAAAATGCCTTGTTTGCCACCTGTAGAGTACAGTGTTGCTCATTATGCAGCAATGATAAAGGTCAAATGTTATGCAACGTACCATATCAACTAATAATACACTGTTTTAGGCAACGTCATCAATGTCAGACGCATCGTATTTTAAGCAGATTTATATTTAAATGGCACAGGTCAATATTGGGTGCGATTACTTTGCTCAAATGTTAAGTACGCACCAAGGAGAATATCAGAGAAGATCACAGAACCTCAGTGTAGTTCAATTAACGTAACTAGAAACTCAGGAAATTTCCAAAAACTTAAGCAAAGTTCTCAGATCTTAAGAGAAGTCCACTAGACACTATCTAATTTTTTTAATGTTCAGGGTATTTGAAGGATGATCAGAGATTTGCAAAAGATTTTCTTTAATTATTTGCTGGAACTTTCAAGAATTTCAGGAATGTTCCAAAATTTTCTGGAATATTGCGGTTTTTACGGGAATTCCATCAATATCAGGACAATTGTCATGGAGTCATTGAGGAACGAAAACTTCAGGGAAGTTTAGAGATTTTAAGGGATAATCCATGACCTTAAGTTCTGAAAACTTTTGGCAAATTAAGGAACTTTTGGATAGATCAATGAACTTCAGGGTAATTGCAGGAACTTTTAAAATGTTATGGGAAGTCTTGAGAAATTTTATGGAGTTGAGAGATCTTTAGGGTAGTACCAATAAGTTCAGAGATGCATCGAGATGCACTAAGTTTAGACACTTGGTCTTGAAATTTTTCTTCTTTTTCGCTTTTCAAGCTTATTGCTTATCGCACATTAGCTTATTGCGTGCTCTCAACTTAGTGTTCTAGATGCACTTCCACAGTTTCGATGCCTGCTACCATTTTTGCATTAGTATAATTGTGTAGCAAGTACAATCATACTATATGTCTAGGAAAGTCGAGAAATTTTCCAACCCAAAAAATTTCTAAACCAGATCGGGAGTCGAACCCAGCCACCTCCAGCATGGTCTTGCTTTGTAGCTACGCCTTTACCGACAAAGATAACGGAGGCCCCTTGAATTAGTACTACGTAAAAGTAAAAAGGTAAAGGTAAGAGGTCTTGAATTAGTATACTACGTAAAAGTGTTTAAATGTCTACTTAAGAAGTGAAGCCCAAGCTGAAGCGATCCAAAGTTTTTCGGAAGTTAAACCCAGTTGTTCTGCGGTCTAACTAAATCAAAACGTCTTGTTCGCTGATATGATTCGCTTTGACGGGAGAATATTCATCAGGAGCGTAAGTTTCGTGGCGTGACTAAGTCAGAAAACAGTAATGTCGAAAGGAAAGCGGCTTAAGGTTCATCGAAAAAAGTGGATAAGTATTCAACAGTTAGCAGAACAAGGCCTGAAATTATTCACTGACGTAGGATGAGTCACTTCAAATTCAATTGACAATTACGACCGACACACGATTATATTTTCCTCTTTAATATTTTTATTGCATAGCCTGCTGCCGCCGTCCAGATAAACGAAATTGGTAGAAACTGTATATATTTTATGGATTCAGTTTATTTTAATACATAAAACTAAACATATGTACTGATGTACTGGTTTCGGTGCTATACGGACTTCGGTCTACAACATTTAACAGCAATTTTTGTTTTCACGTTGGTCAATCTGTTACGAAACATTTCTCATTACCTCCTCCTCCCTATGTAACAATAAGTAACGAAAGTTTGAGCCCCCCCTCCATGCGTTACCCATGAATGCCCAGGAAAATAAAAAAAACCAACCCGAAAAACTACACCCAACCGTAAAATGTAAGATTCTATCACAGATTTGCATACATTGCATCTAGAAAATCATCTGGTGAAGGTTTGATACAAAATTATGCATTGTTGAAAAACTTGCTTGTACGCTGCAGTCCATGCCAAGAACTGCCATTACATTTGTTGTATGAAATAATTGCAGAGGATATAATAAATAGATGCAGGAGAAATTTGTTTTGCGTGAGACTACTTATCTGAAGCCCCAATCTGTTGAACCTAGATCCCTAAATTCAAATTATTTCAAAGGTTCATTTCAATCAACTGCAATAGTTTGAGGCTAGTTCAGTTTTCACGTGTTTCAGTAAACTTGCATGAGAACAATGACGCCACGTCCTCAAACACATGTTTAGAAATCATAAATAATCTTAATCCCGCTATACTGCCCTTAATACCGTTCATATGCTATCGAATGTCACAAACAAGTGCCACGATTATCCTCGGCAGTGTGACGCCAACCGTGTAACCTCCTCTTCCTTCCCCTCACCGATAGCCCATAGCCCATAGAACCACACTCAACTCACCAAAAAGTCACCGATGTCGCCGAGCACAACTGGAACTCCCATGCAAGCGTGAAACCTCCCGTCCTCCCTCACGCCCACACAAAGCTCACCCACCAAATCACAAAAAAGAACCTGAACCTCAGACACAATTATGCTACGGTTGTAATTTAATCTAATTATGATGCGGTCCCCGAACCTGGTGGCGTCGAGCAATCCCCGAAAATGGCGACACACCGTCCCGAAATTTTCCACCCCACTTGGATCCTCAAAGCCCCGGAACGACTTGATAATGTCTGGAAAATTATCATCGCATCACCCTCTGCATCGTTCCATCCACCACAAATAGATATTATTTGAGTGTTTATTCGAAATTCCTCGTCACCCTCCTGTTCATTCCCCCCGGGGGTAAACAATCGAATCGAGCATGACTCGGAGTGTCTGCGGTCCCCGAAGACTGCGCGTCTAATCCGATTATACGGTAGATTAAGTGAGTCAACAACAACAGCAACAACACCAATGATGGAACGATCAAAAGAAGGACCTAACTACACACACAACACATGTATCGCGCTCTACCGAGGCTGAAAACGCAAGTATGGAAATAGGTAGGTAGGGGCAGCATGTCTGTTAGGGAGTGCTAACTAGTATGTCAGACAACCACACTGACGAACGAACACAGTCAGCAGCGCAGGGGCTGTGATGGGCGATGGCTATCTCTCCGAACTCGAACTCGGAGGGGTGCCAAATTGGCTTTCTACAACTATGTCGATAGCAGATCGGAATGGACGGGCAGCGAGGGGGAATCAATTTGAGCACGAAATTGTCTCAACGCGCTAGTTTCGAAAGTGAAGTTGAAAAATGAGAAATTTGACTTGATTGGGATCTCCGGTCGGAATCGGTCGGAAGAAGATGGCGATTTTTCGAACGAGTAGCACTGGGACACGACGACGTACCTGTGTTTCGGTGAGGCCAAGAGCTTGGGCCAGGCTTTTCCGCTCGGATCCCACCACGTAGTGGTTGTTCTCGAAGGCATGTTCCAGCTTGAGTAGCTGCGTGGGTGAGAATGCCGTTCGCACTCGTTTTGGCTTCCGGAATGGTAGGAGGTAACCTGGAATTAAAACAGAAGATTGAAGTGAGAGGCGGTTAGTTGATGTCTTGAGGGTTTTCTTTTTTCTGAAATAATGTTCGATTACTGTATGTCATCCGGAACAGGAGGTGCACGCCTTCCACGTCATCCCCGGTGTGGGTTGTACCGAAAAAGATAGATGCCTCAGGTCAAAGAAAGTGGCGTTTAGTTATACCGTTGAAGATAGCTACCCTATACCTAACATCAACGATTTACTAGATAAACTTGGAAAAGGCCCCTACTTTTCCAACCCTTGACCTTGCATCCGGATTTCATCAAATTGAAGTCCATGAAGATGGCATAGCAAAAACAGCATTCAATGTCGACCACGGGCACTATGAGATTTTTTCGTATGCCATTTGGCAATGTGTTCTCTAAGTATGAGAGGCTTAGAGAACACATGTGAGAGTATGTCTTGTCTACGTGGACGGCATAATAGTGTTATCTATAAGTTATCTACAAGAACACTTAGAAAATTAAAAAAAAATATTTACGTGTTGAAAAATATAGTATGAAAATTCAAATGGACAAAAGTGAATTTCTACAAAAAGAAGTCGCTTTCCTTTCCATTGTAACACCCGAAAATGTAATACCTAATCCCAGTAAAAATTAAGCAATTAAAAAATAGCCTATTCCCAAGAACGAAAAGGAACTACGTGGATTCCTATGTGTTCTGGGATATTATCGAAAAATTTTAAAAGACTGCGAAAATAGCAAGGCCTCTTACAAATTGGCAGAGGAAAGGAGAAAGCATAAAGCATACTACTTCTTCTTCTTCTTCTTCGCATTTCAAGCTTATTGCATATCGCATATTAGCTTATTGCGTGCTCTCAACTTAGTGTTCTAGATGCACTTCCACAGTTATTAATTGAGAGCTTTCGATGCCTGTACCATCTTTGCATTAGTATAATTGTGTGGCAAGTCCAATCATACTTCTATGCCCAGGGAAGTCGAGATATTTTCCCACCAGAAAAATTCCTAGACTGGAGCGGGAATCGAACCCAGTCACCTCCAGCATGGTCTTGCTTTGTAGCTGCGGCTTTACCGACTGAGCTAAGGGAGGTCTCTATAAAGCATACTAATGAATTTTAAAATGCATTTGAGAAACATAAATAAACATTTTGACTATTAGTACAATATTAAAAGGTCCTGATTTTAGTAAAAAACAATCGTTTTAACGATCAATGCTTCAAATCATGCAATCGGAGCAGTTATTTCTCATGGTACGATTGGTAGCGACAGGCGTTACGTATTTTGACTATATCAGAAGAAAATCTCTCCACCATTGAAAAGGAATTATTTGCTATTTGGTGGGGATGCAAATATTTTAGGCCATACCTACACAGACCACCAACCACTAATATATGGTTTAAATGAATGATGTTGCTCTTGAACATACAGATTCAATCCGTGACTTGGGAGTGATTGTGGACAGCAAGTTTCGTTTCAATGGTCACACTTTCATTACCACGGCCAAAACGTTTGCTGTCCTTGGATTTATCAGACGTAGCACTATACTGCTCACTTGTGTTCTGGAATATGCCTGTCTCATTTGGGTGTCGTACCATACCTGTCAAGACTTGCGTATCGAAAGGCTGCCGAGAAGCTTGATTAGATACGCTTTGCAACAGCTGACGTGGCGTGATCCACTTAACTTACCAGAGTACCCAGCGCGATGTAAACTAATTAATTTGGAAACGCTCTCCAACAGAAGGGTCAGTATAAGGCGCTTGTTCATATGCGGTCTTTTGACAGGCGAAATAGATTGTCCTATGCTGCTGGAACAGCTAAGGATGAACGCTCCTCAACGCCAACTTCGCAGTCGTCATGTGCTATCCTTTCTTCTACATCGGACAAATTATGGCTACAACAACCCTCTATGTGCTTGTATTCGTGTTTTCAACAATGTTTGTGACGCGTTCGATTTATCAGACTTTTACATCTAGGTCTTGTTAGTGTAATGTGAGTTAGTGTAAGTTTCTACGTAGTCTGTTTAAAGATGAAGCAAATTAAAATTAAAAAAAATCTCAAGACTCCAAATAGTAAACTTATCAGATGGAGAGACTTCACTTAGAAGAGTATGATTACGAGATCAAGTACAGACTAGGCAAACAAAACACGGTCTCAGGTGCTTTATCTCGTATCTCTCATGAAATAATCTTAAATGGAAATAACGCGTCGTACAATGCCACAGTACATTCGCCAGATACGGATGATAGTGAATTCGTACCAATAACTATACGGCCTCTCAATGTCCATTCAAACCAAATAATTCTTTGAATAAGTGGCCAGAAAGAGGAAAAATTAGAAGAAATTTCTCCACGGATGTTTAGAATCGGCAGTTCATCGTACATAGCGAGGTGTGTAGCAAATATAAATATAAACGCCCACCTTATACAACTAAACATGGAGAAACACCAACCACGAAGGCACCTTTGGAAATTATTCATGTAGACATATTCATATCTCAACCAGATTTGTTTTTGTCTTTGGTAGATAAATTTTCAAGATTTGCTGTCATACTGCCAATAATGAGCAGGAATTTTCAAGATATAAGGAAAACACTTTATTAGTTCTTAATTGTCAGACAATGATCCAGCCATGATATCAATTGGAGTAAAAGAACTTTTAGAGGATTAACGAATTCAATTCTAAATAGCGAGACGAACGGAAAAGTGGAAAAATGTCATAGCACTCAAGCTAAAATTTTCAGGTGTATCAAAGATAAGTATAACGATTTAAGCAATAAGGGAATTTGCTTAAACCTTGTATAACTGAAAAATTCATACAGCAGCCAAGTTAAAACCTAGAGATACCTTCTTTGGTATAAAAGACGGCGAAGAACACCCTCTTGAAAAAGAGAAAATCCTAGAAAATTTACGATGATGTTGTTCTTGAACTTGATCGACCCCGACAAGGAGATCTAGAAAAACATAATAAAAACCGAGAAGAACTAACTAGGTTACAAGAATGGGAAAAAAAGTTTGATGCGTTTCAAGTCGTCCAAGATAGAAACAAAACATTTATTGACGACTCAAATCGTAAATTATATAAGTCAAATCTAAAACTAATCCGGAAATAACACATTTTAATATATTTCAGAACCATGATGCTAATCCTGTTAATCCCATTTAACTAAAGGCTTACTAAAGGTTAATTGGTACACACAAAATACCTGTAATTTGTGATTCATTAAGTTTAAAAAGTCCATAAATGGTTGCTTTACAGAACTTTTATTAAAAGTTCAAAGTTACAGCTTAAGATGGTTACATTTCTCCAGTTCGAACGAAATCTCGAACCTTCCTCTTGATGGAGCCCATCAGCGCCTGCACAATGGAAACGGACACGGAATCAGCCCATTTCCTCCATTTTTCCCGCATTTTCTGGATGTCTTTCACTGCCTCGCCACTTCGTCGAAATCGCTGCTTTGAAATTTCCCAGTATTTTTCGATTGGTCGAAATTCCAGGCAATTCGAAGGATTCATTACTTACTTACTTAAGGGTCCTGTGCACCACCAGCGGTGCAAAGGACCAACGTGAAAGACTTCCATCCTGGGCGGCTGCTTGCTTTTGCCTTGACCTGGGCCCAGGTCAGTTTCCTATCGACTTGCTTAATTTCCTTATTGAGGCTCCGCCACCATGAGCCCCTGGGTCTGCCTCTGCTGCGATGTCCTGCCGGATTCCAATCCAGTGCTTGCTTGCAGATTTCGTTTCCGCCCCGTCGAAGTGTGTGGCCGACCCACCTCCACTTTCGCTCTCGAATTTCTGTTGCTATCGGCTTCTGATGACATCGACGATGGAGCTCGGCATTCGAGATCCAGTTGTGATGCCACCAGGCACGAATTATATACCGCAGGCATCGGTTGATGAAGACCTGCAGCTTTTGAGTGTTCTTCGCTGATACACACCAGGTCTCGCTGGCGTATAACAACACAGATTTCACGTTCGAGTTGAAAATTCGGATTTTGGTGCGTTGACTTATTTGGTTGGATCTCCAAACGTTTCGTAAACTCGCAAAGGCAGCCCTAGCCTTCTTGATTCGTGCACCTATGTCGCTCTTGGTCCCGCCGTCCGAAGCTATTTGGCTGCCAAGATATTGGAAACATTCGACCTTCTCCACTACTTGCCCCGCTACCGTAAAGTTGGAAGGGTTGCCCGTGTTGATATCCAACGATTTGGTCTTGTTGACGTTGATGGTGAGACCCGCCGCAGAGGAGCGTTCGGCTAGGTCATTGAGCTTACTCTGCATATCAGAGCGCCGTTGTGCTAGTATCGCAACATCATCAGCCAAATCGAAGTCGTTGAGATGCTCCAAGGATTCATTAGCTTGGGGACAAAATCGATCTTGATGGCAGCATACCACTCCAGAACCACCTTGAAGTAGAGGCAGCTGGCCACATCCCCACGTCCAGTCGCGATGTCAATCTTTTGACCGGGAAGCTGCTTAAAATCGAGTTTGACGTATGTTTCGTCATCGATCAAAGAGCAGCCCTTGTGTTTCGTCAAAACACGGTCGTACTAGAGCCTTGCACGCTTTGTGGCCACGGAATTTGGCTTCATGTGCCGGTTCGGATGTTTACTGGCTTTGTACGACTTGTATCCTTCCCTGGCAAGGATGTTCCGCACCGTTTGAAAGTTCAACATTCAATCAAAAAGCAACACTCTAATTGGACAGAATAATTTGCAAGTGGCTATTAACAAAAAGAACTTTTTTTTTATGTATTTAGGAGATTTTTAGCCACGGACTTGCTCATCTCCAACAAAAGAACTGATTAGGGTTAAAAGCGGAATAAACAGTAATAATAAATTGGATGAGATTAATTCAGGTAATCACAATGTTCATCACTTTTAAGAGTTCATATTTGAAACCGTTCAGCTAGCAAAACTTAATGTAATTCCCAGAAATGTTCTAGACAAAGACGAATTAAAACTTATTAGAGAAAATTAGAAGCACAACACGTAAAATTTATTACATTTATTTT